CCCAGTCACGCTGCCAATACTGAAACACCGAATACAGAAAAAATCTTCCCTGGATGAGGCCTAACCAACTGACACTAAACATAGGACAAAACCTACTTTTTCATTCAGTTTGGTAACAAGCTAACAGATGTACCTCTTAACAAATGATTAAACAGATCACACTATCCAAAGCTAACAATGGAAAATTCTTAGCCTGGATTTTAAACCTGGAGAGAGTTCCGGGGTCAAACGCCCCCGGGGCGCCCGGTTCTGAGCCCAGGCCTCTGGTTGATCAGAGCCTGATCAACCAGCTGTTGCTGCCTGGCTTGACGCAAACCAACGTACGCCAGCCACAGCCCGGCTGACCCGAACAGACTTTAGTTGCTTGTCCAGTGCCAGCTTGAAGACTGCCAGGGGTTCTGTTGGTAATCCCCCATATTGAGCTGGGAGGCAGTTGAACCGTCTCGGGCCCTCTGACACTTCTTGTATGTCTCTTAACGTGCTAGTGACCACCCCTGCTTTTCATGGGGTGGATGGTGCAACGTCTGCCAAGTCTATTGTCTTCGTAGTGAGTGATTTCGTGAGCCAGTTCGGTACTCGTCCCGCAAGGATTTTCCAGTTGTATATAATCAAGTATCTCTCCCTCCTGCGCCAGGGAATACAAGTTTATGAACCTCAAGCGCGCCCAATAATTGAGGTGTTTTATCTCCGTTTATGCGCGCCTGTGAAAGTTCTCTGTACATTTTTCTAGGTCGGCCAATTTCACCTGCTTGAAAGGTGCAGTTAGTGTAGCGATATTCCAGCCAGATAGAACAAGTGACCTGAAATAGTGTCAACGATGGGCTGACCTCCCTATTTTGAAGGTCTCATTATCCATCTGTCATTTTTACTAGCAGATGCGATTGATACAATGTTGGTCCTTGAAGGGAGATCCTCCACATGATCCCTCCCAGTCTTTACCTGGGAGTGAATATGTCGGGGATCACACCTTCAAGGACCATAACAATTGTATCAACGCATCTGCTAGAAAAATGACAGGATGGATATGATAACCTTCAAACTAGGGAGGCCAAGCCCCTGATGACACTCTTCAGGTCACTTTTTTGTTCTATCTAGGCTGGAATATTGCTGCACACTAACAGCCACCTTTCAAGGCAGGTTGAAATTGCCGACCTAAGAAAATGTACAGGAACTTTCACGGCGCGCAATAACGTAGATAACTCCTCAATTACTGGAGCGCTTGAGGTTTCTAAACCTGTATTCCCTGGAACGCAGGAGGGAGAGATACAATGAATATATACACCTGGAAAAATTCCTAGAGGGACTAGTACCGAACGTTGCACACGAAAATCACTCCTACGAAAGCAAAAGACTTGGCAGACGAGCACCATCCCCCCAAGAAAAGCAGGGTGTCACTAGCACGTTAAGAGACCATACAAAAAGTGTCCAGGGGCCCGAGACTGTTCAACTGCCTCCCCAGCACACATAAGGGGGATTACCCAACAGACCCCTGCAGTCTTCAAGCTGGCAACTGGACAAGCACCTAAAGTCAGTTCCGACAGCCGGGCGTGGCTCGTACGTTGGTTTGCATGCAGCCATCAGGCAACAGCCTGGTGATCATATGCGCTGATCCACCAGGAGGCCTGGTCCAGACACGGGCCGCGGGGCGTTTGCCCCCCCTAAATTCTCTCTCCAGGTAAACTCCAGGTTGGTGTATCGCGTTATTTAGTGGCCGAGAATTTGTTTTGTACTCTGATGATGATTTAATTTCCTCATTTTTACCAAATCTGAGTAATTGAAATTTCTCATCGTTGAACTTCATATTGTTTTCTGCAGCCCCCTGAAAATTTGGTTGATGTCGCCGGAGCTTTGCAGTGTCTGCAATGCAAGACACTGTCATGCAGAATTTCGGGTGTCCAACTGCAAAGGAAGACACGGATGCTGTGGCTAGACATCCTTGTCTATGTCGGATATAAGATGAGGAATCAAGATGGGAGCGAGTACTGGCCTTGTGGAACAGAGCTTTCACCGTAGCTGCCTCGGACTTTACTCTGTTGACGACTACTCTCAGTGTCTGTTAGTGAGGAAATTATAAGATCCATCGACCGACTTTTCTGTTATTCCCTTTAGCCACGCATTTATGTGCGCATATTACGCCATGGTTACACTTGTCGAAGGCTTTTGCAAAGTCTGTATATATTACATCTGCATTCTTTTTGTCTTCTAGTGCATTTAGGACCTGTCGTAGTGGTCCAATATTTTGAGACAGACAGGAGCGACCTGTTCTAAACCCATGTTGCCCTGGGTTGTGTAAACTGATGGGTTTCTAGATGCGTGTGATCTTGCTTCTTAGGACCCTTTCAAAGATTTTTATGATATGGGATGTTAGTGCTATTGGTCTGTAGTTCTTTGCTGTTGCTTTACTGCCCCCTTTGTGGAAGGGGCTATGTCTGTTGTTTTTAGTAACTGTGGGACGACCCCCGTGTCCATGCTCCCTCTCCATAGGATGGAAAAGGCTCGTGATAGGGCTTCTTGCAGTTCTTAATGAACACAGAGTTCCATGATCTGGCCCTGGGGCAGAGTGCATGGGCATGTCATTTATCGCCTGTTCGAAGTCATTTGGCGTCAGGATAACATCGGATAGGCTTGTGTTAATCAAATTTTGTGGCTCTCTCATAAAAAATTCATTTTGATCTTCGACTCTCAGTCTGGTTAGCGGCTTGCTAAAAACTGAGTCATATTGGGACTTGAGTAGCTCACTCATTTCCTTGCTGTCATCTGTGTAGGACCCATCTTGTTTAAGTAGGGGCCCAATACTGGACGTTGTTCTCGATTTTGATTTGGCATAGGAGAAGAAATACTTTGGGTTTCTTTCGATTTCATTTATGGCTTTTAGTTCTTCCCGCGATTCCTGACTCCTAAAGGATTCTTTAGCTTAAGTTCGATGCTTGCTATTTTCTCTGACCAGTGTCTCCCTACGCATTTCAGATATATTGACCTCTTTTAGCCGCTCTTTATTCTTTTCCGTCGCCTGTAAAGGGAGCGCCTGTCTCTTTCTGTTTTACATCTACTCCTCCTTTTTCTTAGAGGAATAAGCCTTGTGCATACATCGAGTGCCACCGAGTTAATCTGTTCTAGGCATAAGTTGGGGTCTGTGTTGCTTAGTAAACTTCCCAGCTAAAATCGGTTAGGACTTGGTTTACGGGGCCCCACTTTATGTTTTTGTTATAAAGTTGAATTTGGTGAAGCTCCCTCGTGACTAATCTCATTATTGGGGTCTGGGGCTCCGCGATACATGATGAACCCAATTATGTGGATCGGGTATATTTTTTTTAAAAGGGGATTTTTTCTTATCGATCATCATTGTTAGTGAAGAAGGTCTAGTGTATTCCCCATCTAGTGGGCCTATTTTTTTGCGGGTTTAAATTAAATTTTGTGCAAATTTTTTGTAAAAATAGACTCAAATTTCATACACATAACAACAAATTTCTAAAAAATTTCCAAGACTGTAGGCATACTATCGAAGATAGGGTACATGTCCACAGCCCCCCAGCCCTCCTGACCCTTTATCACTCTTTTATTTACCCCTACCACCTTGAATTTTGCAGGGGGCTCAACAACAATTAACCATCCAGACCACAAATTTACCCAACAAAAGGCTGCGTTAAATGAAACAAATTCTCACAAAGGGCACGCACTCCACCAATATTCAAAACACTCACCTACTCACCATACAAAACACCCATACTTTTTAAAGCACCATTACATACAAAACACTTAACTCTGATATTAACCCCCCTTAAACATCCCTTCCCAAACCCCAACAGAACCATGACCTAACACAAGGCACAGATCACTCTTGTTTCCCGGTCCATCTCACGCTATCAAAAACTCAATGCAAAAAGGCCCTAAAACGGGGAATTCATTCCTGTAAAATAAAAAAACACTACCTGTTTATAAATTCAAGTCTCTTCTCAAATCCTTTCTCCCCAAAACCAAATAAAAAACGAATAGCTGAAAACCCTATAAATTGTAATCCTAAATGTTACTCCAATTATACACACAAAGTTAAACCAGGACCCAAACTAACTTTGTTATTTTTTTTTAAAAACACACCCAACAGAAAAATCCCTTTGACTGAATGACAACAAAGCAAACAACCATATGACCTGTCTTTTTTAATACTCATTTTGCTTTTGTTTTCTGTTTACAAAAAAGTTTTATTTAGATTTCATCTCTTAGTTAAACTTAAGTTAATTTTAACCTGCCCCAATCTATTATTATTTTTAATTATTTTAAAGATTTGCCGGTATTCCCCGGCCCGGGGCCTTTTCCAAGGGGGGCCCGGCCTGGTCCCCTTTAGGGGTGCCCAACCAAGTCTCCCATGGGAGGGGGCACAAGTACCCCCCTCATCTTTGGGGCCAACTGTCCCCCACCTACCCAAGCAGGGCCCCCTGGTCGCCACCTCGCCCCCAAGGGGGGAAATGGGAAAAGAAAGTTTTATGAGCTAAACGCTCGGGGTTAGGCACCTACCCACCCTAAAGGGGTTTGGCATGGGGTCGATGCCCCGTAAGCATGCTGTAAGTGGCCTTTTTGGCATGCTGCTCTTACCTGTATTTTTTTGTACCTCTGTATGTATGCTAAAATTACTAAATACATAAATAAATAAATAAATAAATCATGGATAATATTTTTATTATTATTATTATTATTATTATTATTATTATTATTATTATTATTATTATTATTAGTTTTTACTTATGATGATGATGATGATGATGATGATGATGATGATGATGACGATGATAGATGATGATGATGATGATGATGATGATGATGATGATGATGATGATGATGATGATGATGATGATGATGATGATGATGATGATGATGATGATGATGATGATGATGATGATGATGATGATGATGATGATGATGATGATGATGATGATGATGATGATGGGTGGTACCATCAATGACGCATGTCTCTGCTCAGGTGTTACATCTCGCGCCAAAACTTGTGTTGTTTACAGTGTGTGTGTGAGAGGTGGCAGCCAGGACTCTCGACTCCAGGAACACCGTCCATTATGACACTCTCATCGAGAATACGTGTGAAAATAAATGGAATAAGGCATTTACCACGTTTTGATTGGTTGGGGAAGCCGGTAGAAGCATCAAGGAAAGAGAGATTACTAGGAGATAGGATGTATTACAAGTTAGTATTTGTTGCAGTATTTCGATGTGTTGATGAGTGTATCCTCATACTTTTAGTATTTATTTGGTTACCAGAGTTCACTGCATTAACATTACCTAGACAAGGTTTTGTTCATGAATATATCCATACTCAGAGATGTTTTGTAACTTGGTAGGTCCTCACACCCAACTAGTAAAGTTTATTTAGGTACAGATTCATGTAAGTTCAATTATCATACATAGTTTAAAATGTATAACTTATCTAGGATAACACACAAAGTCAGACGAAGTGACTTATTCAAAGACCCTAATGGAAATAAGTAACTGACTTCTGTTGGGCTCTCCATAGTAATATACATGTTATAATGCAAGACATTTGTGAAAATCTAACGTATGTGTAGCTATACTTGAATAAACTTAATTATTTCTACTAGTGTATGTGCCTCTTTTTAATGTCACACATATATACTTCAGTGATGCTATTTGCTAGTTTCACTTTAAAACTGTTTCTAAGCCAGTATCTGTCCATATGTTCATTGTAGATGAATGGTTCAGAGAACCGACACGTTGATAAATTAGACACATGTGCAACTCTTGGGTATCTTTATTAAGGAAACGTTTCGCCACACAGTGGCTTCATCAGTCCATACACAGGAGAAGCTTGAAGAATAGGAGGAGAGTGAGGTAATCAGTCCCTCAACCTTGAGTCGATGTGGTCAGTCCATCAATCTTGAATAGAATACGGCATATGGGCGGAGAAGGAGCTTATAAACCATAGGCAGGAGAGGTGCAGCAGTCATAGGTGGTGTCACATTTGTTCAATGTGGAAGTAGGTCGTGCCCAAGGGTTAGGCAAGCGAAGAATTCCCAATTATGGTTCTGTGAACCATTCATCTACAAACCTGTCAGACACTGCAACTTCTTGGGATCTTAATACAGTGGACCCCCGGTTAACGAACTTTTTTCATTCCAGTAGTAAGTTCAGGTGCCAGTAATGACCGAATTTTTTCCCATAAGGAATATTGTGAAGTAGATTAGTCCATTTCAGACCCCCAAACATACACGTACAAATGTACTTACATAAATACACTTACATAATTGGTCGCTTTTGGAGGTGATCGTTAAGCGGGGGTCCACTGTACTTGGGAATTCTTCGCTTGCCTAACCCTTGGGCACGACCTACTTCCACATTGAACAAATGTAACACCACTTATGACTGCTGCCCCTCACCTGTCTACGGTTTATAAGCTCCTTCTCCGCACTTATGCCATATTCTATTCAATATTGATGGACTGACCACATCGACTCAAGGTTGAGGGACTGATTACCTCATTCTCCTCCTATTCTTCAAGCTTCTCCTGTGTATGGACTGATGAAGCCACTGTGGCGAAACGTTTCCTCAATAAAGATACCCAAGAGTTGCACATGTGTCTAATTTATCACCATGTGTTCATTGCCATGTGTACCAAATGCCAATAACCCTAACTCGTCAAAACTCGCATAAACTTTCTATATTAAGCTGGAATATTGCATCACTTAGAAAAAGACTTCCTGACCTTCATCATAAAGTAACCACCGAACCCGTTGATGTTGTGTGTCTACAAGAGTGCAGAGTCCCTGAAAAATCCCAACCCCCTAAATTACCATCATTTGTTGCATATAACCTTCAATCTACTAACTCTTGTGTTCTATATATTAAAAAATCGCTTCCCCATCAACTTCTTGCACACAAGAAAACAGAGGGGTTACAATATCACGGTGTTAGGATTTATATAGGGAACTCTGCTCTCAACATATTTAACTTGTATGCTCCTGCTGATAAATTTAATTACTTGGAGCTCCCAACTTGTGCTCATTCTGAGCCTACTCTTATTATTGGCGATTACAATGCGAGACACAAAAGCATTGGAAACTCACAGTTTGGGAATCGTAATGGCAATCAACTGTTGTCACTCTTAAACAGTCATGATAATGTCCAAATTGTAGGTGATCTTGAACCCACACATATCTATGGAGGCGTCCTTGATCTGTGCCTGGGCTTCAACATTACTTCTGCCAGCTGTGAGTCTTCCATTGTAACAGATATAGCGTCTGATCATTTCCCTAGGCTAACCTCACTAGATATTTGTAATACTACTATCCTTCCTGGTGGGATATTCAAACGGAAACGTTTTAATGTTCCCACTGATCAGCATGATGACTTTGTTGCACATGTGACGACTGGTAAAATTTCCCTTTATGAGTTTTTCCTCTGTAGAGACCTTTAACAATGATTTTTGTGAGCAGTATTCAGAACTACTTAGAGCCGCCACTGAAACCTCTTGGTACTCAAAACCCCAAAACAAACTTCCATAATAATCATACCTCCTTCAAAAACCATACTTATTACAATGATTCTAAACTTCGTACACTGAAACGTACTGCTCGCAGACTAGGCCTAGCCTATAGAAAACATCGTACCCCTGGAATGTTTAGGCTCTTCCAAACTGCCCTTGCTGCTGCCAGAAGCGTATGACAGAGCTGTGGCAAACAGACTGGAAAAAATTGTCAACGGTCTTAATGCTCACACCCCATTTACCCGGGGGGCTTGGAGGGACATAAATAGAATTAAGGGTAACAGAACTGGGCAGATCGCGCACCCTCATCCCTTACATAGGGCGAATGAGTTAGTCAGTGCTTGGGCTGCTACATCTAGCTACGACAATCTTCCCAGTACCACACAGGCAAAATTAAATGACAAATAGATGCAAGGGAGAGACTTGTTTGCTTTATTGCTCAGAAAAGGCAGATGATTGCAACATTCCTTTCACTAATTATGAACTTGATGCAGCACTAACAAGGGCAACTCCACGTCACTGGTGAGGATGGTATTACTTACAACATACTCAGATTGCTGTGTCGAGTACCAGGTAATCCATTACTTGACCAACAGCCTCATCATTCCAATTCCTAAGCCCAATCAACAAAATGCATTTCGACCAATATCTCTTACTAGCTGCTTGTGTAAAACATTTGAGAGAATGATTCTTAATCGTCTCATGTACAGAATCAAACAATTTTTGTCTCCCCGGTTACATGGTTTCATGCATGGAAGGAGCGTGCATCATTGCATAGCCACCTTTCTCACCCTGCACACTGACAGCTCATACACTCCCTTCCTTGACCCTAAATCCCGCTTTCGATGTAGCCAACCGACATGTAATCATTAGTGAACTTGCCAGAATGGATGTTGGAGGATGGCTTCTCCGCTGGATTAAAGGCAAACCTGTCCAACAGAAAATCGTCTGTGTTGTTCCAGGGACATAGAAGTGTAACTAAAGACTTTGGAATTAGGAACCCCACAGGGAGGTGTGCTCAGTCCCCACGCTGTTCAATATTCTAATTAATGCATTATTTAAATGCAATCCCTAGTAAGCCCCTCATTATGTGATTAGTTTTGCTGATGATATAATGATTCACACCACCGATTCTCCAACACCCAAAACATTCTTAATCATGTACTAGCCTCGTGTCAGGACCCGGGTTGATAATCTCTACTGATAAAACAAAGATACTCAATAGGCGGTCCTCCTCGCCCAGAGGGGCACAGTTCATCAGATCCAATTGCATGATGGGTCTCTTCTAGAATATGTAAGCAGATACAGGTATCAAAGGTTTTGAGGTTCCACTACTTGGACCTGTTGTAACAAGATTTTTGTCGCCAATACAAAGAACGACTAAGAGCACTTAGAGTTGTGGCCAGGGCTTCACCCCAGGTATGGTGCTAATGTTAAAATTGTGAAAATGATGTATCTTGCTTATATTAGATCATTGGTTGATTATGCTGCGCCACTACTTGCTCTTGTGTCTGACTGGAAGCTTGGAGGGCTGGAAAAACTGCAAACGAAGCAATGAGGATCATTTTAGGGATGCCCTCATACTGTCAGAATTTTAAATATGCAAAAAGAACTTGATATTCCAAGCATCAGAGATCGTTTTAAACTGAAAAAAATTTATCCTAATTGGGGTTAATATGCTCAGGCAAGCTCATTGAAACCCCCGCACAGAAGCCCTCCAAACTTTCCTCAGCACTGGTGAACACTCCTCCAGATGGATCGAAAAAACTGGAACCGACCTCCGCATGAATCAGATACATGATCTATGTCAAGTAAGGCAACAGCGCACTTCTCCGCTCCATGGAATATTACCCCATTCCAAACTACCATTCCTCCATTTCCCCCAAACTACTTCTTAAATCACAACCAAAACTTCGCTTTGAAGCCAAACATGAGGCCTTAAGCTGTATTGATAATTAGTCACACAGCACACACTCTCGCAAATTATTTACGCTGATGGTTCTGTTCACCAATCCACTGGTGCAGCTGGTAGTGCTGCTGTTTTTCGTACAGAGTGATGGCTCTCTTAAAGAAATTGGAGCACGCATCAATAATTGGGCCTCTACCCTTCAACAGAACTGTTTTTCATACTCCTTGCACTGAAATGCATCTATGTATCAAAGATTGACAGTTTAATTGTAACTGATTCTCTGTCATCCATAAATGCTCTCAAATCATTTAAACATAAATTGTTGCATGCTTGTGTCAGAAGCCAGACACAGGTATGGTAGGATTGTGGGCAGTGGAGTCAGAGTGCACATGCTGTGGATTCCATCTCACATTGGTCTTCAGATGCATGATAGAACTGATAAATTGGCTAAGCTGTATGCTTTTTAAAGAGGGAGTAGATTACAATCTTGGCTTGTCAGGTAGTAGTTTGAGAACAATAATACGAAAAGAACTTCAACTGAATTTTTTTGGACTTAAGGCTCAGGGAGATTGACACCAGTGAGTCCATCTATCATCATTCTATCATGCAGGAGGAGCCACATGTCTATGGTGGGATCCAACAAAATAAGCAGACTCTTGGATGTCACTACTGCCCCGGCTCCGGGTGGGTTAAAAAGTATCTTAGGCAGGTTAAATCACCACCACCAATGTAGACCAAACGAAATGTAAACTTTGCCAGATGGACTATTGTCACACCC